TTGTGGGATTGAATTTCATTTGCTTTGGCAATTAATGATGTTGCTTTTGTTTTAACAATTTCCTATTTAGTGTTTTGGAAAATTTTCTTTGTTAACCTCATTTGCATACTATTGCAAGAATTTCCTTGTTGCTCATTTATATACACTTTTAGAATAACAAGTCTTCAAATCATATTTTTAGATACTTGAATGCCACTCACTAATGGTTCAATTGTGGAATAAATCATTCATTGCATATTTTGGGTTTCATTTGATTTGCAGAGGATCTATGATGCTGTTGAAGGGGTATAATTTCTTTGTAGATAGCATTTTGTTTGGCCCCAAATTAGCGACTTTTAGCACCACACAATGTTCTGTATTGGTTATGTCCCATTTGTATGCAGATATATTTACATAAAATTATCTAACAGAGATTTGAGTTTGTTCGGCAGGACGGCTTATTTGAAGATCATTTTTTTTTTCTCAAACTCGTATATAACTGCACTTTTTTTTTTATTAACAATTCATTCTTCAAAAAAATGATTTTTACTTCAAATAATCTCTTCCAAAAAAAGAAGATTTTATTTAATTCCCTTCTTTTTCTCTCTGCTTGGACAAAAGTAAGTGATAAGTTTACTGGTCTGGTCATTCAGAAGTAATCGAATCCGAAGAGGGAAAATTTCATGAGATACAAGCATTTCGTCATTATTGTGGATCCTTCGTTTTCGTAACGTCGAAATGAATTGCATGAAACAGCAATTGGGATTCAGCATCATGTGCACTTATCGTGTCGATATCGTCAAATCAATTTCTCCAAGAATAATTATATTCACATCATAATTTTTATTTCATGAACAATATTTTAATTGCATTTAAGGTTTTTAATCTTTGATTATTATAGCTATTATGTCCTTAATGGTTTTTTCATGTCATTTTTATCCTCACGCTTTCCATTAGGTAACACATTTTGTATTTGATAACAATTTTATGTCTAAAAGTCCATTGGAATGGTGTAAAATAAATTATTTTTCCATCATATTTATATTTTGATAAAGACGAGATGTAATAATTAATGGAAAGTTAAAGATAAGAATTAAACAAAAAATAAATAAATAAGAAAATAATTGTTACAATGAGCAAAGATTGATGAATTTAACTATAATTGAAATGTGTCTATCAATTAAAAATTGTAGCAGCGATATAATCCGCCCTTTCTCTCATAGGCAAGGAGATAGTACTATTTACACTGCGTCATTTTTCATTCGGTATGACTTCAAATATTTTTTTAGCCCAACAAGTTTTGCCTTTCTTAACAGAATGATCATTCTGGGTCGAACTCTCACGTGAGACTAAGGTTTGAATATTTAAATTTCAAAGAGATCTTATTTTTTCTATCATTTCATATACTCCATTCGTCCGATAAAGATATGTTTATTTTCTTTTTCGTCTGTTTCAAACTATAGATAATTTTTTATTTTTGTTATCGATATATATAGCATATTTCTATTTAAATTATTATTGAATAATTTTTTTTTATGAGACGGAGTAACAAACTAAACTTGGTTATGTTGGAGAAAACTTGGCCACTCTTTTCACATTGTAATCTTATAGGCCTAAGCGAGTGTTCTCCAAAATCTCATTCATATATCATAATCGTGTTTCAGTTAGTTGATAGTCCCAATTCGTGTTTGCCACAGTAATCCTCTCAAGTTTTTTATGCCTTGTTTTCGTCGGTTCGCGGAATTACACGATGTTTTTAATCTTCTAAAACCCTCGTTACGGAATTACTAAACGCAATACTTTCTGTATGGAAATTATACTCCTTCAACAGGATCAGAGATCCTCTGCAAATCCGATGACACCCAAAAAGCTTCATATCGTCGATCACAATTCCAAGCCCAAAACCAAACTCGGCCCACCCGCCGCGCCGCAGAATTCTGCCCCATCTTCATCAACCACCACTCTACCGTCCGATAAGAGGACCCGGGACCTTCCAAATTTATCCGATTGTCATTGCTGCGGGATCCGAATCAATCACAGCAACCCGAAAGATCAGCTGCAACCATTGGACAGCGTCTGGCGCATTGTTCTTTTGTGTAGAAAATGCAGCAAGAAAGTTCAATCAGGCCAAACATGCTCTTACTGCTTCAAAGAAACGGCGAATTCAGGTAATATTGTTGAATGTCTTGATTGTGCTCGCCGAATTCACCAAGATTGTGTCAACAATTACGGGGATTGCACGCCGTGGTGTTATTTGGGGTTAGGGTTAGGGTTTAGGGTATGTGTGGATTGTTGGGTTCCGGATTTGCTAAAGAATTCGGTCAGGATTCATAGGAGGAGTGATAATAAGGATGTGGTGAAATCTTGTGCAACTGAGGGGGATTTGAAAGACTGTCGGCAGAAGGGGAAGAAGGTGGAATGTGAGGTGGAGAAGAAGGTGAAGATGGTAGCCATTGGAAAGAAGAACTCCTTGAGGAAGTCTGTGGTGGCGAAGAATGCAGTGGAGTTGGCAGAAACTGCGTTGGATATGGCAGAAACTGTGTTGGATATGGCAGATAAGAATGGTAAGAAAGGTGATGATGTCGGTACCGATGCAGTCGAGGTTGTGGATGATGTGGAATTCGCCATTCAATTGCATAGAGCAATGAATAGTTCGCCAAGAAATTTAAGGAATCAATGCGTTGGGAAGTCGAGTTGTTTTGAGATTTTGAAGAGTAGGAATTCCGATAGTTTGTCATCTAGAAAGTCGGGTTTAGGAAGAAATAATGGTGAAGGTATGAATCCTGAGACATGTATTAATATTATGGAGAACGAAATACTTATCAGGACTAGCGATAATGATTATTGTCTTCATGCGGATAACTTGAAACAGGGACTATTAACTTACAAGCGGGATAGGAAGAGGAAGTTATGGCAAGTAGATGACAATGACTGTGTGGTTTCTGAATCTAAGTATAGTCAGCACGTTGATTCAAATGACAAGTTACATTTAAATGGCTCTGGGTGTCAATTGAGATTCAATGGTGTTATCTATAAGCGGGACAAAAAGAGGAAGTTATGGCATGTAGATGATGACGATGCCATGGACTCTGAATCTATGTTTAATCAGCAAGATGATTTGAAGTACAGTTTACATTCAAATGGTGCTAAGTCTGGGTGTCCGTTGACAAGTAATGGCGATATTTACAGGAGGGATAAAAATAGGAAGTTATGGCAAGTAGATGATGACAGTGTCATGGTTTCTAAATCTGAGTTTACTCGGCAAGATTTAGAGTGTCCTCTGAATTCCAGTGACGCAATAGAAAGATTTAGGCAAGAGCCTATAATTTACAAGCGGACTAGGTTCAGGTTGAAGACATGCCAAGAAAATGGCAAGGTACTTGTATTTGGGGAATGTACTTCTGGATTTGACAACAGTGTGGCCTTGGAACCTCAGTATTATCAGCAAGATGATTGGAAGCATGAGTTGCCTCTGGGAGACAGTAGGGATAGTTGTGCAGTAAAATGTGATGTTGAGATAACTTTGCTGCCTGACCGCTATTTTTTTAAGTATGGTTCGAGGCGAACTGGCGCCAAATCAGGCTCAATTTGTGAAACCGAGCTGCATTCTGATGCATCTCAGAATGAAAATCAGGCGGCTGTTTCTTCTTTGGTTAATAGAAATTCTAGTTGGCTTGTAAAGTGTGATGACAAATTGATTTTGTCAGATGGAAGTTTATACAAAGAGCCCGATCCCTATTTTTTGAAGTATGGCCCAAGGGTGACATGTTCAAAATCTGGCTCAAATTGTGAAACCTACCTGCATTCTGATGATTTGCAGAAAGAAAATCAGGCCTCTGCTGCTGGATTGACTACGAATCGTTGTTCAAAATCTAGGACGCTATCTAATGTTTCACTTGGTCACTGTCCAGTTAATTTGCAAGCGTCTACTTCTGTCAGTGGTCCATTTGTAGAAGAACCCTAGATAAAACAGGTACTAACAGTTGTTTTACTCCTAATTTTTCTTTTACTGATGAATTCAATGTTTATACAAATCCCAAAAATCTGCTGTGTTAGTAGTGGCACATGTTTGTGCATGTCATCCTCCTCCTTAAAACGAGTAATTTTTTCAAGCAATGTGCAAAAGGTCTAAATAGGATATCAAGGCGGAGGCTAGGCACAAGGCTCGAGGTCCTGGTGTCGGTCCCAGCATAATAGACAGAACAGTACAAAATACTATAAGAATACAACCCAGAGTACAAAAAATAAACCACAATAAGAAGACTTGACCAATTTTAAGAAGTTTAAATCATTCAACTATTTATTATTATTAGCCAATATAATTTAAACATGTTATTTAAGGGTGAATGTTGATTAACCAAGTTGCCAGAAAGTAAAAGGAAAAACACCAGACTGTTGGAAACAACTAACAGAACACAACAAAATAAAAACTAAAAGAAGTGACATGGTATCCCCAAAGCTGGCATGGTATTAGTTTTGGATGTTGAAGTATTTTTGTTTCCTTTGATTCCAAAAGAAAAGAAGAACCTAGAGGAAATGAAAACAAAAATACATAGACAGTAGCGAAGAATATAAAAGAAAGAGAAGAAGAGTGNNNNTATAAAAGAAAGAGAAGAAGAGTGAGATAACATGTCATCAGTCTGTTATCATTGGCAGCCTGCCGACAATCATCTGCTATTGAAAAGATGCATCATTGATGGACGGTGATCACTCTTTAATTGCAGATGTAGGCATAATGTCCATTTTGCTTATTCTCTTCCCTAACCTCTAATTCCTTTTTTCTGAGTAAATCCTGTAATATTTTTCTTCCTCGTTTTGCAGTCTATTCTAAACCTTACCATGGTTGGAGGCAAGAAAGTGATTTTGAAATGTTATGTATTTCATTAGTTATTCAGTGGAATCTGTAAAGGTAGCAAGAGTTAGAAAACTGACGGTTCTTTCATGTTGTAAAATAATAAAATATACGTTGTTCTCTCGTGTGTTTTGGTACATATCCTGTTCTTTCTGAACACGCAATATCTTGAAAGATATTATTCGTTCGAGTTGATATTGCTAATAGAAAACAATTTCAATTTGTTATTTCTTGCTTACTGTTTCTGATGGTGATTCTTTCATTCTTTAACATGAGATGTATACTACAAAGTGTTGGCAGTTATTATCACTTGTGCTCAATTCAGATGAAGGGATGCTAGAGGNAAAAAATATTTCTCACTGCAATTCTCATGTTGAAATTTTACCTAGACATGTTAACTTATGTGCTATGGTATGGAAAATGTAAATGGTCTGACAATATGTTGGTTAATATTGTTCCACATGTGATTTTTTACTTTGCTATAGCAACATTTATAAAGTTGTACTGGTGAAAAAAGATTGGATATATCTGGTAGTATTGTAGAGCAATTTTGTCATATGGCATGAAATAGATGAGAAAGAATTGGCATCACATGCATCCCCCCCCCCCCCCCCCCCCCCCC